TTGAATAGCACCCCCCACCCGCAGCACCGAAGCATACATGTGGATATTTCAAATGTTTTAATAAGTTTAATTTGGCATATACTTTAGTTATTCACATAAAGGTTTCTATGATCACGTTCACACTTACACTGTACCTATCAATTTGACGTACATCAAATAACCTGGATGTTTTTATTTTGAATTACTCTAGCCCGTCATTGGATAATGGGCTGAATGTGACCTGTTAATATAGTTTCATTGATTATTAATTCGAGGGTTGGTTTGGCCTGTGGAAAAGACGTCAAGGAAGATACAAACGTAAACAGTGATAGCTGATGGCACTTTCACCTCGCACTAGACATAGGCGGCTGTAATATAATATTTTTTATTGAACAAATATTTCTCTTTTTAAACCTAATTTAAGAAAGTTCATAATATGGATAGCTCTACTCCGAGAACTTATTGAGCTCCAGCGTTTTAAGCCAGTGACCAACAGTATATCTTGATGACAATTCTACCGCTGTAGTCTATAATTTCGCTATACCTATCTGAGTTAAACCTGATTTGTGAATTGAACAGGATTTGTATTTTAGATTATTTCGAACATTAGTCTGTTTTACATTTTCAACACACAAAAGCTCTTAATGGGTTCTGTGTATCTGCATTCACTTTAGTCGTTCCATTATTTTGTTGCATTATGTTGCTTTCTAAAAATATTTTATTTATTCACTTCTTTGTTTAGTTCAGAAAGCATTTTTGTGTGAAGCAAATGTGTTATGGTGTTATGTGTTTATATCTGTGAATCTGAGTCAAGTCAAAAAAGTCTATGGATGTCAAGGTCACTTTAAGGTCATAGATGTGCCAATGCACAGAACTCGCCTGTTGTCCAACCTGGAGTTTTGTTTTTTTGTTTTGTTGGTTTTAGGAACCTAAATGTGGAAGAGGTTGGACAAAGATACCCTGCCTTAGGGTGCGTGTGTTATTTAAATTTTTTTGGAAATGGATTTTGCTAGCAACAGACATTTTAAAACGAAGTAGCAGAACACTATAATGTTAGGAATGCATCACTTTTTAAGTTATTAGGGTCAGTACTGTCAAGTTACTGTCTTACCTTTATGGGTTAAACTGTTTTACAATGGTTTAATCCCAAAGTTGGGTCTCTGGGACACAGTTTCCTTCCTCTTCATGTACAGTGTAAGGAAGGTTTAGCTGAGCAGCCGCTAAGGGGCTGAGCGTGTCAGCGATCACTGGGCGTCCATTGAGAAAAATAGCACGTACATTTTAAATTTTTTTAATGCTTTTATGGAAGCATAATATCACACAGTTTGTAGCAAAAAAATGCTACAAGTGTAAAAAAAGGTCATAATTTAAAATTACAGCCCTGGCTGCTGCTTCTAATGTGATTGTCTCTATTTTTTTCTTTTTTTAATGGACCACTGAATCAAGACCGGATTTCCCAAATAGCCAGAGTAGGCACCTGACCTCTAGGGGACGCCTGTTTTCAGCGCTTAGAATGTACCTTTTTGAGCTTAAATATTATGATTGGGAGAGAAGTTCCAGGAGCCTTGGTCAGTGCCCTCTGTAGTCTTGTCATCATTAATGGAAGAGCTGCAGGAACCGTTATAGAGTGTAAAACCCAGTGCTGTGCCAGCTCCTCCAATCATTCTAACCCTCCAAACTCCAGCACTCAAAGCATTAACCTTAAAAATAAAACCTTTGCCTTATGTTTAACTCCTTCTAAAAACTAAACGCCTCATGTACCCCAATTCTAAATTTAACCCAACTCTAGCCCTAAACTCAATAATTCTAAACAGCTGTTATACTACAATTTTAAACTCCCTGTACCCGTTAATCTTAACACTAAGCACCCTGTGTAATGTAACTCTGATGTTATCTCCTCTTACATTAACCCCCCTTTTACCATAACCACTTCTAACATTATCTTACCCTGTATACATTCACACAGCTGCATACACTCATAGATTCTAACTTAATTTATTAAAAGCAGAATATACATATACGCACAATTATAAATTTTTAGTTGTCAAATATGAATATGCTTATTGGATGTTTTTTTCCCTGCGATGTCCAGTTAATAAATCCATTATACTTATTGCTTTATTCTGCGGTTCGGGAGCAGGGGGTGTCTTAGGATCCGGTCCTGCGCTGAATAACAAAGTAAAGATTCTAATCTCTCATCTGATAAACTGTATTAATATTATAATTTCAGAAACTTATCTTAAAGTTCAATGGCCAAAGTTTGTGTTTGGTTACTAAACAATATTTCCAGTACTTTGAAGTATTGTCATTTTCTTTTGCTTGGATAAAGGAAAAAAAATGTATTAATAAAGGTACCCTCCAGACTGGTCCCAATTTTAATGTATTATATCAAATTTTTGAAAAAATGTAAACGTAGTTATAGGTTCCTGAGCTTGCTTCAGTGAGCCCTTTGCAGACAAGGTGATGGATGGCTGAACTCTCTCAGCCATCATTCTTGTACTGCCCTCGTAAACACTTTAGGAACATTGTGTGTACTGCTGTCTGTATAATGATGTTTGAGCTTCCATTATCTGTGTGTAGTATTGTCTCTCTAATGTTTCTGTAATTCGAGAATACAAATCAAATTATGCATTTCACGTCTTCTTCTTTTTTTTTTTTTTTTAATCCCAGGACGTCATATTCCACTAATTTGGGTTTCCATGTAAACATTCAAACCTGTTGTGCCTTTTATTTATATATATATATATATATATATATATATACATCAATACATAGGGTTTTTCACTAAATTGAGAATTCAAGGTGAATGCAAAGTAAATTTTAAATTTGAGTTCAAAACAGACGAGCTGGAAAAATCCGCTATGATTTCGTTTTGGCTACTGTTCTCTCTGCATTCACTTTGAATTCGTCTGACTTTTGTGAATGACTTTGACAGACTCTGAGACTCCATGGAGAGAACCTAACCAGTAGTTTAGCACGAGGCAAAGCATTAATCACAGACAATCCTTGCATTGTAATAGAGGTAATTGCAGGTATAAGCGAGAAAGGACTCGACTGTCACAGGACCCCAAAAAAACTGCACTGATATTATAAATGTTATTTTCACTTCGTTATCTAACAAGGGGAGAAGATCATATCTAATGCGTCCGTTCGTTCTACCCAAAAATTCATGCACGGAGCACCCACCTATGTAGTTATACTCCTGACAAAACTGGTTTGCTTTTGGCATAGATTGAGAAAGAGCGTAAAACATCGGTTTCTAATTTATTTAAGTAGTCAATAGGCAACAAGAATACATTTTCATTTTCAGATCTCATATATGTCGTTTTTTGTTTTTTTGTGTTTTCCAACAAGATGCTTGTATTAGAGGGAGCAGATGGTTTTTGTTGTATGATTTTTTTTTAATAATAATAAAACAAAGCATATTGTGTATGATAGAAAAGAAAAAAAAATCAAGTAAGATTTTTGGAAAGGCTTAATACCTAGTGAGGCCACAAATGATACTTTATAGCTTAGTAACCCTGCACTAATATCACAACTATTAAAATTTCTAAATGTTTGTTCCTGGTAATGCCCAAAACGCAATGATATGTAGAACGCCATAAGCAGCGAGAACAATAATCACATCTTGGTATTGAGAGTTTTTTTTCTTCCCCATGTGCAATGCTACAACATGGAATGTACACCTTTTAATAACATCTATGTGTTTCTAATTTACACATTTTTTGTGAAATAACCAAGTAAATTATTAAGTTATTTTTGTTTTAATAAAGTAATATTCTATGAGTTGTTTTATTTATGCTACAAGTAGATTCTCATATTTTTTTCTTTTTTTTAAAAAAACAAAGAAAAAAACTGTTTTTAATATTGAAAGAAATGTTAGGTTTAGTATTTTAATTTTATGTCTCATGTCAATAAATCTGGTACATATTAAAAATAAAAAAAGACATTTCAGATGTATTTTGTTTTGGGTAAAATTAATACTGTTGGGTGAGAGGGGTGGGATATTGTTACTAAGGTATTAAATAATATTGTGAACATTTGATACAGTGATACATTTCCAATCCAGAATCCTATAATAGCACAACTTTATTTATTTATAAAATATTTTACCTGGAAGGATAAACTGAGATCTCTCATTTTCAATGATGTTAACAGTAATCCTGTATAGTATTCCTGACTTTCCTTCCTTTATACACCTAGATCAGAGGGTTTTATGCTCGCCCCCCAATAACTTATTCAAAGTCATTATTATAGACACCCAACCAGTGCTGTTTTAACTAGAGCGCAAAGTGGACATCAGCCCAAGTCACCCTGGAAAATCCAAAAATAAAGTCACCTGCAGACTGTAGGGGGCAGTGTTGTGTCAATGCCAAATAATGCTGTACTTAAAGAAACATTATAGTCATCCTAAATTACTTTTGCTAAATAAAGCAGTTTTAGTGTATAGATCATTCCCCTGCAATTTCACTGCTCAATTCACTGTCATTTAGGAGTTAAATCACTTTGTTTCTGTTTATGCAGCCCTAGCCACACCTCCCCTGGCTATGATTGACAGAGCCTGCATGAAGAAAAAAACTGGTTTCACTTTCAAACAGATGTAATTTACCTTAAATAATTGTATCTCAATCTCTAAATTGAACTTTGATCACATACAGGAGGCTCTTGCAGGGTCTAGCAAGCTATTAACATAGCAGGGGATAAGAAAATCTTAATTAAACAGAACTTGCAATAAAGAAAGCCTAAATAGGGCTCTCTTTACAGGAAGTGTTTATGGAAGGCTGTGCAAGTCACATGCAGGGAGGTGTGACTAGGGTTCATAAACAAAGGGATTTAACTCCTAAATGGCAGAGGATTGAGCAGTGAGGCTGCAGGGGCATGTTATATACACCAAAACTGCTTCATTAAGCTAAAGTTGTTCTGGTGACTATAGTGTCCCTTTAACACAGCTTTTAAATACATCCACTGCCTAGCCATAGATAAATAATGTGGGAAAGTTGTGTTTCAGTGAGGGCTGATACTTCCAGTGCAAAAAAGTTCCACGTGGACGATGTTCTATTTAGCTCATGCATACAGAATAACAGAAATCTTGGAGGAGGTTAGGATACAGTTAGGAAGGGAATAAAAAAAATGATGAATGTGATAGAGTTAATTGGGAAGGCCGGATAAAAAGTAAGTTAAGAGTTTCTTCAGTGAGGAACACTGGGAGGATGGAGAAATAAAGGAAGGGATTGATAGGTGGTATAACGGGTGGGTGGAATTAAGAGATGAATTTACAACAGATGCTGGATGCAAAACGTTATATGTAATGAGGAAGATCTCCACACTAATAAAACCGATTTTGGGCAGAGTCCTAGGTTCTTCAGTCATCTTGGTACACCAGTAATGCAAGTAGTACTGAAACATCAGACTTGCATAGATCTGGGTTTCTTCCTCCAAAATGTAAGATGAACCTGGTTGGGCGCAATCAAATTTTTGGCAGAATAAGAGTCAGGAATTAAGCCTCCATTATTTAATGCAGAGTGATGAGAGGCTTAGGATCTACAGCAGTTTGCTGATTGAGATCCATAATTCATGGAAACTTAGAGTAGTTGAGGTAAACATCAGGTGGAGATTTTCACTTATGGAGTGTGTATGTAATAGAGTTTACATGGTTGTGTGTGTGTGTATTTGAGTTTACGTGTGTGTGGGTGACTAGGTGTATAAAAGTAGCCAGTTTGTTGAAAGCTATAAATATATGTGAAAGAAAGTAGGTGTGAGTGGGGATATTTGGAAAGTGTAGATAATTAGGGGCTGAGAGGGGTAGGTAATGGATGTGTAAGTGTGGCTATGGGTATATGCGTATTTTGCTAGCAATGTATAGGTATGAGTTGGACTAGGTATGTATATCGGAAAGTGTGGGTAATTAGGCGAGAGCAGCTCGTTATGTGTTTGTCAAAGTTTCTAGATAACTGTATCTGTGTGAGACAGTATAGCTAATTAAACAGGATGTCTGAGTGTTTTTTTTGATTGTGTGATATTGCATTTGGATCGGCATGTTCATGTGATTATATGTAATTGGTTAGAGTATGGATGACCAGGTATGTATGTCAGAATGTAAGCAATACAACATACATGTTTGTATGAGAGTGCATTTGGTTAATTTGGTATGTGTGACAAGGTTTATGTGTGTAGGGAAATAATCTAATCCTGGAGTTGCAGAGGCACCCCAAAAACCATTTACAGGAACGTTACCCACCTGCTTTATTTCTACAACTCATAGAAGGTTATTCTGTGTAGTCCTGTTTGTTTCTGACAGTTATCCAATGGCGGAACTACCTCTGGCTGCTCCGGGGCCTGCACACTAGAGGGGCCCATCGGGTGGCCCTGGCACTCAAGGCAATCCAATAGGTATTGGTGAATAGGGGCCGGTCGGGCACCATAGCCCTTTAAGAATGCGACTTGGGCCCCTGTAATATTGGCCAACTGGGAGGAAGTAAGAGGCAGACACTTACTACCAGCCATCAACCTCATCCAGCAGCAGGTCCCAAAGCAAAAGGTATGTTAACAGGAGGATGGCTGCAAATGCAAAACTTGTGACAGGTATATGTGTGTGTCAGAGTGTGTATGTGACAGTCTGTGTATACATATAAGCACCCCAGTGTATATATAACATGACATAATGGGTAATAACTAGTGATAATTCATAAAAAAAAAAAAAAATTGTGCATACCTGATTAGAGAGAGAGATCAGAGGCCCATAAAGCAAGCAAGCTCGACGCAGCTGAGGAAAATGAAAAAAAAACTTATCTGGTGGAGGCATCGATTGGAAAATGGCAAAGTTTGGAGATATAGAGACGAACAAGATCACCTGCAGGCTGAAAAAATAATTAGTGTTGAAATAATGCTTATCTGGTTTTAAAATGCCTAATAATTGCCAAGAAAACATTCCTCACATTGCAATACGTCATGAAGGGTCCATGGCTATAAATATTCATCAAACCATGTGTTGGGTTTCCAGTCTTCGGTGATTCGCCATTGGTGACACTATGCCCGCTGTATACTTTACCGGCAAGGGTGGAGATTTCTGCTCCGTTTCTTTAATCTGAGGACGTCTAAGATGCATTCGGATCTAAGTTAATGCATCATAAATGGAACTCTCCCTTCTCTGGGAACTGCATCATGGAATAACACATTGCAAACCATCTGTATGATGTTTATTTATTTTTTTCATGTGATACTCTGATTTCTTTTATATTTGCATTTAAAATTTACGGAATTACATCATAATTTAGCTCAGTCCTGGCACACACGAGACAATCTTTGCAAATCAATGTTTTATCTATGCAGACTGCCAGGCTTATAACAATGATTGACCGTGAACCAAGATGGGGGCGTCCAGTTGCAAGATAAAGAGTTGTGGATTTCTACATGTGACCTAGACATAAGTGTGATAATCTTGGGAAGACATAATGCTAAAAATACTGGGACATAACAGGATTGTAAACGTTATCCATTGCACATGAAAATGGAGCGCTTGCTGTGATAGAATGCGGTTCTTCGGTTCTATCGAAATAATGCATTTGAACATACACGTAAATGTTCATTTATCCTTTAGAATGTTTATTTCTCTATGTGTACCTACATTGATTTTGTATTTTTTTATTCATATACAGTATATATACACACTTTTTTTTAACAGTTCATTCCCAAATTTGTATACATCACACGTTTATTAACATATTCACATTTTTATATTCACATATTTGTCTTTTTTGTATATTTTGTAATAGTTTTTTTCAGAATACACACCTTTCACTAAACTAATGAAACTGTATCGTTATCACAGTGGAAACAAATAAATGCTGAGCTAATATAGATAAACTGTTATTATAATAGAGCAGGATAAATTTCCCAGATCAACTATTTGTGCCTAAATTGTGCCATTTGGCTTTTCGTTGAGAACAGATTTAATGAATAACCCCAAAAATGTGAAAAAGCATAAGCTAACAATGGATCGAATTCAGGCCTGTTACTGTTATAGCACAATGAAACAGAAATGTTATTTTACTGTGAAAGTACAATTCATTTTTTTCATGTAGATTACAGCTATCAGAGCTCAGTGTCTTTAAGCTATTTTCCTTTAGCTATATAATTATAATATTAAATATATTATAATTAACACATTTTCGCATTGTCATTTGACTCGTATTCTTGATTTCAGATTGCAAATGTATAATGTATGAACTTTGTTTCTCATTGTCCTTCATTAGCAATAGACAATATTTTAAAGGCTCTCAAACTGTACCCAGGTAATTAGGTTAGAACGTAATCACAAGAAAATTCAAAAAGTAATTTTCAACCCAAGATGAAATGCACATGTTGTAAGTTAATGAAGAATCACAGAGGTGGATAGCATAAAAAAAATATATATTTTCTGGAAAAGAACAAGTGTTGAAGCTATTTTAATTAAATCATTCAATTATTAGCTTTGCTCTAATTCATGGGTTGCAGAGCGGTTTAGAGATCAGCAAATTATTCTCAGACGCCTGTTCAGACTGTAATGATATTTATCAAATGTGATTACTGCACTGTTACATCTGCAAAAAGCGTCTTCCCCAATGGAAATATTTTAAAGCAGGAGTTCAGAATCAAATTATTCTCTTTTTTTATTTTAATGAATCCTATCTTTAATATATTGTTGGATAACTATATGAATATTTTACCTTATAGTCTATTCTTCTTTGATGTTCATTACCCTCCTTTAATTTGTAACTTGATGGGGAAAAAAACACTTTAGTCTTATTTAAAATAAATTCATTTTATAAATGGTGATCTGTAGGTAAAAAAATGACCTCAAAAGTCCCTGACAAGGCCGGTTTCTTGCTCAAATCTACAGCCAAACTCCCACACTAAAGGATTCTCTCTTTAGCTATTTCAAATGTTAAAAGGTACACCCTGGAAAATAAATTTCTGCAAGCAAGATCAAAGATCAAATACTACCCTCCACCAATGATTTCCTTGCCCAATTAAAGGAACACTCCAAGCACCAGGACACCTGCAGCACAATGTAGTCATTATGCTTCCAGGAAGGTCCTCATGAAGTCCCCCAGTAAAATATGATACCGTTTTGGTATGGTTTAAAAATGTACCTGGGTGATACGGCTAGACAAACTAGGCAGCTGCCTAGCGGGCACTGGTCCGGGGATGCAATCTCTGGGTGACCAGCAGAAGCGGAGTGCATTGCACAGGACTCCTATTCCTGCTGGTCACTGCATGTAGCATGGCAGAGCAGACTGCAGTAGAGAATCTTCTGTAGCCTCTTCCCGGTCTGACAGGAAGTGCTCACTGAGAGTATCAAACAGCTTCCTGTCAGACCAGGTATAGGAAACAGAAGATCCTCTACCACGGTCTGCTTGGCCACGCTACATAAAGGTGAACAGGTAGGGTAATAGACCTCGAAGAGATGAGGGAGAACAAAGAGGCACACGGAAGGGCTGAGAGGGACAAAGATACACACAAAGCAGCTGGGGGGACAAAATGACACAGACAGACTGGGAGTACAAAGTGATATACAGTAGGGCTGGGGGAAAAAACAGATGGCTGGGTGGGACAAAGAATAAAACAGAGGGCTGTGGAAGGGGACAATAACACACACACAGAGGGGCTGGGGAAGGGGAAAAAGAGACAAGGGTGTGGGGGAGAGACACAAAAAGGGGCTGGGGGGAGAAAAAGACCCACAAAGGTGCTGTTGGGAAGAGCCACACATAGGGGCTGGGAAAAGGGAAAAAGACACACACAAAGGAGTTGGGAAAGATAGAGACACAGAAAAGGGCTGGGGGGTGAAAGAGACAAACAAAGTTGGCCATTTTTTTTTTTTGTTTAATTAGTCTAGCACTATTCCTGCCTAAAGCATATTTGCTATTCTCCAGCAGGAGATATCACTGCTTACAGCAAAGCAGGACTGCAATCATTGGCTGAGGACATCAACTGAGCACTCTAAGCTAATGAGCGTGTTCCTACATCAGCCGGATTTTAGACATAGATTTATCTGCCTTCTACTAATGGAGAAGACTGGACGTGGAGGATGTGGCTCCAGCACCCAGCGGGACCCAAGTGTGTTGTCAATATATGCAAAGATGGTTTGACATTTCACCATGGAACAGCACCAGGAAACCACTGTAGTGGTGCCAGGTAATTGGAGTGTTCCCATTGTTGGTTGGGTTAGTCAGGAGAATAGTTAGTATTTAGCCAT